AAAGTTATAATTTTCTGATAAAAGATTACTAAGATGGACTACAAGGCTTTCCTTTATTTTAGTTATCTTCATCAACTGATGGAGGGGCCTGGGAGCTACTAAACTAGGAGTCATTCTCATGTAGTCATGTGCGATCATTATTGTATGGACCGTTCAAGGCTCACATGGTTGTGTGAATTACGATTCAAAAACACATAAAGTATATTATTCTAATTTATAAAATATATTATTTTAACATATAAAATATATTATTTTAACACATAAAATATATTCTACATTATTTTAATTCATAAATAAATTATTATAATACATAAAATACATTATTTTGTACCCAGGGTTTCTACTATTAGACACAATGATTCAAGGTTGCTCTATACTCAAAGTCAAGAATCGAACCGTTGACTTTTGGTTAAGGATGGATGAGTCTCTTCCACACAATCACACCCCAAGTTGAAGAACATTATTCTATTCTAACACATATAAAGTACTTTTTGTATCTCCCGTCTTTTATTTCCGACTCATCATTGTATTTCGATTTGAATTAAGTAATATATCATATTTTCCTCAAAAAATACATTATCTTATCCCAGAGTGTTCATTACTCTAACACGCACGCAGAGCAAGGAATTATTTTTTTTAACATCAAAACGACGGCGTTTTGGATGGTGATCCACACAACTGTAATTTCCCTTCTTTTGTGAGACGGATCGGGTCAATATGAAAAATGTAATACTTATACTAAAAAATGCAATACTAATTCAGAATAAAGTGTTTGTTACTTATAAGAGAAAGTTTAATATTTTTTATGTGAAATGTATTACTTTTGAATCAAACCGTAAAAGAGCGAATGCTAATGGAGTACTTACTCTATTACATTATAGTATTTGTTCAAAAACATCTCTACTAAGGTTCAATCTCATAACCTCCCACGTAAGAGAGACCACTACATATCATCTGAGCACAAAGCTATTAAATTTTCAATGTCAATAATACAATAAGTTATTTTAAACAAGTTAAATTTGTACTAAAAAAACAAGTTATATTTATTTTAACCCATTTTTATATCGGGTTTTAAAAAGTTCAGAACAAATCATATGATATGTAACGCATTTAATTCTATTTTTTGTTCAAAATATTGTTATATTATTTATTTAAAATATTTAAATATGAACATTTATATATAATTAAGTTTGAATATAAACTAGATTGAGTTGTGTGGCCTATATGTAATGAAATAAATTATTAAAATTTTATTACATCATAAAAATGGACAACTATTCAAATAATATGTATTTCAACTTTGATTTTTTACTAGCTTCAATAAAATTCATATTAATTACAAAAAAAGTTTTCAAATTCATATTAATTACCAAAAAAATTTCAATTCTTTTGCTCCCTTTGACATTATAATACTTGCCGGCCTAACCCGCCATGTACCCCACGTATAAAGAGCGTTATTGCAACCGTGTGCACTATGCATAGTGCACACGGTTGCAAAAACGACGTCGTTTTAACGTCCAATTTAAAAGAAAAAAATTTGATTTCAATTGTCGTTAACGGCGTTATGTTGTGCATAATTTGAACTATAATCCATAACTTCAAATTATACATTCAGAATTGCATAACTACACATCCATAAGTTCATAACTATACATTCAGAATTGCATAACTATATATCCATTAACTTCTTAACTATACATTCAGAATTGCATAACTACACATACATAACTTCATAACTATACATTCAAAATTGTATAACTACACATCCATAAATTCATAACTATACATTCAGAATTGCATAACTACACATCCATAACTTCATAACTATACATTCAGAATTGCATGCATAAATATATATCCATAACTTCATAATTATACATTCAGAATTGCATAACTATACATCCATAACTTCATAACTATACATTCAGAATGTGAAATTATAACTTCATAACTATACATTCAGAATTGCAAGCATAACTATACATCCATAACTTCATAACTATACATTAAGAATTGCATAACTACACATCCATAACTTCATAACTATACTTTCAGAATGTGAAATTATAAAATTATGAACATATGTTTATGTAACTAATGTCAATCAAAAATAATTTTTTTTAAAGTAAAATGACGCCGTTTTTGCAACCGTGTGCACCATGCATGGTGCACACTGTTGCACAACATAATTTGCCCCCGTATAAATGGCTAATTGATTATTTAGTTTGTCACTAAAAAGAGAATAAAAAGCATATTTTTTACCTGAAAAAAAAATGTTGGTTTAAGTAGAAGTGATTCGAGTTACTTAAGCATATAGTCAATGGTTCAAACCTATGTGTATGCAGTAACACCCTTAATAGAATTATTTTTGAATGGTGTGTGGCTCACGGTCAGTTGAATATATAGTCTTACCCCATGAGATGCGAATACTAATGCATTATGTAAACATTAACCCTATATATATGTATGCAGCAACACCCTTATTCAATCCTATAGATCAATACCGAATGGGTATTAAAACATGTATTTAATTATTGGTGGCAAAAATCAAACAACCTAACTTGAAAATCTTGCTAAAAGTTGGCCTGGCCGGCCTACCCTAATTAAAGGATGATTGAAGATAGTAAACTTTGATTTTTTGTGTTCTGCAAAAATCTGTGTTAAAATTACCACTACGTACACTGCACATCCATTTTGTTGGCTTTAAAAAGCATGAATCAATGAATCATTCCACTTGCACTTTCTACATTTGGTCTAGTTCGGTTATATGTCATTTTACTAGGTTGGTGCATTTTGTTTTTGTTATACAAATGATATTTCATTCGTCTCACTTTATTTATTATAGTTTTCTTTTTAATTCATCTCAAAATAATATACGCATATATCTAATAAACCAAACAATTTATTTAATTTGACCAAACTACTTAATAAGTCTAATTAAATTTGAACCACAAAATCACTTAATAATAAATTATACAGTAAACTTTTACAATATTCACTTTCTATTATTTCATTGCCTAATATTTACTCTTGATAACTTGTTATCTTTATAGACCACTAGTTAATAGGTTAACTTCACCTTGAGTTAATAATAACCATTAGAGAGTGAGTTTAGAGTAGTTGAAGGCTACCTCACCCCTTACCCTACGGGTTGTCGATGGACGTAAATATCAGAATGTGCCTTGGTGAGGCAGGTCTGTGTGTTTGCTTTGTGCCCTAAGGCTGTGATCTTCCCACATTAAGAATTCAAACATAAGTATTTGTAGGGTCATTACACCTACATTTAGACCTTGTTTGATAATATAGTTAACTTATCAGTCAATTTTGGCTTATTTGACCACTATTAACTGTTTGACTTGGTGAAACAGTCAATATGAGTGTTTGATTAATTAACCTTTTGTAACAGCTTATTGTTTCAAAACGCTAAAATTCAAAAAACTGTTCTAAGTAGCTTTTTCGATAAGGTTTTTGAAAAAGTCATTTTGCATGTAATCATCTATCAGCTAACAACTAATTTACAGAACATCTTTTTACATTCTGCTAATAAGATCAACTAATCAAATATATTAACTCAATCAGTTAACAGCTATTTAACAAATATCTCCTTAATCTTTCGATCATTGAGCTACCTTGTCATTTTTAGTCATATTCAAGTATTAAATGTGACACGCAGCGACACAGTGAGCACAAAGAAAACTATTCTTTTGCCTTTTAGTAAAGTATTAAATGTGACAATAAATTTGGTTGTTGAAATACTAAAACGTAATTAATTTTTGAAATCAAATACCAAATCTACCCCACATTTCTCATATTTGCAATTTTTTTGGCAGTAGGTGGATTCTAAAACTCTAAAAGATGGACAGGGGTTAAGCAGTCATTATACCCGGTCCGGCCCTGGTCAAAATTTGTTGGTCTAACACGAAACCACTCGCGTTTAATAAAACCGATCCAGCCGGCGCTCAGTCCAACCCGCCGGCTCATCTCCCATCCCACCATCACCATACATACATACATGCATCCATCCATCCACATACATATTGATGATGCATATATCCACATTTCAATTATTATTCTTAAGTTATCTATGATCTATGTGTCAGTGACTCAGTATATTAGGTACAGCGTACAAACTTTATTTGGTTACATATTAAATATTACAGATAATATAATCTGTATATTTTTTGAAATTATTAATTACAATTTTAAATTTAATTTGTTTTGGGTAATAACATGAATATTATTTTACTATTATATTCACATCCTTATTAGGCAGAAGATCAGATGATAATTAATTATTAGTTATTAATAGTGATTTTTTTTTAATACTACAATCTAACTTATAGAATAGTATTTGTTCAACCGGATATTCCGTTGAGAATGATAACAGTGATGTCATCAGACTACAAAGTACTTGGCAGCAGTGGATATTTCTAAAACAATCATTTACAACAAATGGGAGATTAATATAAAATAGATTTGATTTTAATAAATAGCTATTGAATATAAATTGATAATTACTAACATTTTTTCATATGCAATCTCACCTTCTCACATTATTCTTCTTTGTATTTTAGAAGTATGTTGTTTTTTATTTTTCTTTTGCATATGTCATCCGCTATATTCACACTATTGAACGACTAATCGTCTAATATGCATTTAGTTTGAGTCGGGGACACTCACACTCTCAAAGTTAAAGCTCCAATTAGAGCTTTTTAACGATTTCTGATGTTATAGTTACATTAACAGACTATTTATCAATGTTATGTTGTTGGGTTGAAGCGTACTGTGTTGTAGTTATTGCTCTAGGTATATATATTTATTACATTGTATAATACATTATATATTGGTTGTATAAAAATAGTAGATGTAATTGTATAAAATAATAATGAGGTGTGGGCCAATGCAAAATGTTGAAAAAAGAAATAGCACACAATACAAAAGATTAAATTATTGGAGGATAGAAAAGCTTATGTGCAATTCCATTCTCTATAAAATCCCAAATTTGCCTCCCTTTTCTCTCTTCAAGCCGTTCTACTCAATTCCCATCCAAACACACCCAAAGAAAAAAACTTCTCTCTCTCTCTCTATCTCTCTCACTAAAACCATCACATGGGTGAGGTAAATTACTCTTCTATCCCTCTCTCTTCCTCTACTTCTCCTCCACCTATCCCTTGTTAAACGTGCTAAAAAGATTGGATTTTTTTTTTTTTTTTTTTTGCTTCAGAAAGAAGAAACCAAGAAGGATGGTGCAGAGAATAAGAATGAAGGAGGTGATAAGAAGGGCGGTGGCGACGCCGTTCCCGCCGCCGCCCCCAAGGCGGAGAAGAAGGAGGATGGGCCGCCGCCCGTCGTGTTAAAGCTCGACTTGCATTGTGAAGGCTGTGCCAAGAAAGTCAGACGCTCAATCCGCCATGTTGAGGGTAATTAATTAATTATTTTCTTTAAATTAATTAACTATATATTAAATCCAATAATTATTTTCTATGATTAAAAAATAACTATTATATATATATATATATATATATATATATATATATATATATATATATATATATATATATATATATATATAGCGGGTTCAGGTGCGATAGTGTCTTACGGTGCGGTTATTTCTTACTGTGCGGCAATACCAATAGTTCACCAAATATGCACCATCAACGTTAGGAAATACACCACACAAAACAGAGCATACAGAGCCTTGCATTACCAAACACACACCATTAGGTGTGAGTAAAAACATCATACACTGTTCGAAAATACACCATTGGGGGTGATGAGTTATATGGTATGTTTTTTTGAGTCTGTGGTGTATTTTGTGATGTTTTATTACATTTCATTGGGGTGTGTTTTTATTACATTGTTGGTGCATATTGTTAACACTGTTGGTGTATTCTGGAATTTGACCGCACCGCCGCACCGTAAGACCCCGCCGCATATGAGCGCTCTTCTATATATATATATATATATATATATATATATATATATATATATATATATATATATATAAAATTTTAGAAAGAATTAATACATTAGTTGGAAGGTATATCTTTTTTAAAGAATTTTTAGGTTATACGAATCAAAATGTATGTTTGGTGAAACTATGACACCATAACGCACACTATTGAAATTTTTGTTTTATTATTTATAATAATTTTAGTGGTATGACGTATGATATTACACCCTACAATATTTATAAAATAATTATTACTTTATGTTTAGTGTTTGATTATTAATTTCACTAATCATTACTATTTATAAAAATTAAATTGATTTTTTATTGGTGAAACTCATGAGAACACTAATATTTCGGGTCAATTTTGGACCGTCTTATAGTTCGTGTTCATTTGACTAATCTCTGTTTGCTTCGAGAGGTACACAAAAATTAAACTAAGGAGAATTGTCACTCGTGAAAATTGGGGAGTTGAATTCCGATTATCTCATGAATCGTCTTTACAAAGAAGTTCATTTGTCACTTGAGCTACTCTTTAGATTAAATTAAAAAATAAATAATGTTGTGCTAACTTGTACTTGGTCCATGCATTTAGGAGTGGAAGAAGTAAAGGCGGATTGGGAGACCGGAAAAGTGACCGTGAAAGGGAACGTGGACCCCATAACGCTCCGGGACAGGGTTGTCAAAAAAACCAAGAAACAAGTGGTGCTTGTATCTCCGCAGCCCAAACCTGCCGCTGCCGCCGACAAGAAGTCCGATGACAAGCCGGAGAAAGCCGAGGAAAAGAAACCCAAAGAGGTATAAAATTTTAGTATACTTCATAATTCATTACAATATAGTATATGTTCTATACTTTTTTAATTTATTTGAGTCTAAAAAATTAAAGAGTCCACCATAAAAAACGTCTTAGTATATATCTATACGTAAATAGGGTGGCTCCCACAATATGATTGAAGTTAAAAAAAAAAAAAAAAAAATTAAATCACTTAATTTAATTGTAAAATTGAAAATAGAATATACGATCATGAATTAAATAATTAATAATTTTTTTGTGTTTGCGATGTTGCAGCCACAAGTAAGCACGGTGGTAATGAAGATCCGATTGCACTGCGATGGATGTGCACATAAGATAAAAAGAATCATAAAGAAATTCGAAGGTACGATGCATGATGAATATTAAGTTTACTTTTACTACTTATAATAATTGATATTTTATTATTTGATTTTATAAAAAAAAAAATTAGATTCCCTAATGATTCGATATAAAGTATATATAACGTCACGTTTGGCTAAAAATAATTTTATGATAATTTTTTAGGCGTTGAAGATGTGACGGTCGATTCACAAAAAGATTTGGTCACGGCAAAAGGAACAATGGACGTCAAAGAGCTGACCGCCTATTTGAGTGAAAAATTGAAGCGGAGCGTGGAGGTTGCGCCGCCCAAAAAGGACGACGGCGCCGGCGGCGAGAAGAAGGCGAAAGAAGGCGGCGGCGGCGAGAAGAAGGAGAAGGAAGGCGGCGGCGAGAAGAAAGAAAAGGAAGGCGGCGGCGAGAAGAAAGAAAAAGAAGGCGGGGGCGACGAGAAAAAAGCTGACGGCGGTGGAGAGGCGGCGAAGGCGGTGGCGGCGGAGGTGGTGAACAAGATGGAGTACGGCGGGTTTCATCCAAACACGTACTACGTCACACCAATGTACAACCAAAGTTACCACAATCAAGACTATGGTTTAATGATGCATCATGATCCTAGTTCTGCCCAAATGGGATACGCTTACGCGCAACCGTATCCGCGCGTGCCGCCTCCGCCTCCGCCGTCGTACATCAACGCGCCTCCGGCTCACATGTTCAGCGACGAAGATCCCAATGCTTGCTCCGTCATGTGAATGGGGACAACCTTGTAAATACGAGTCGTATAGATCGAGATCAGATAAAACCAAATATATACGAAACCGTATATATATACGAGAAGTTTAATTAAGCATAAAGAAACAGATTAACCGCCGTTAACGGCGGTTTAATCAGTTTCATTTGCTATGTTGCCTTTATTTATTTGTTATTACTATTGTCAAATTAGTTGCTAATTAATATAATATTCAATTTTGTGTCACCTATGTCCTTTGTTTTACTATTCTTCTCTCAATTTATAGGTTGAATCCCCACCTTGACCTGACAGAACATTTAAAAAATATAAATTATGGTGATTCAATGATTCAGCAGACAGGACCAAATGTCGGTATACAAGAGATTTGTTCACTTTAAACATGATCTTTGCATTACCACCGCAAGACTCTAACCTTGATCTCTTCTTCTAAATACTGTCCTACTGAATCCTTGAGCTAAGCCCGTACAAGACATTTTATTATATCATTCCACCAAGAATAATACTTCATGGCCAATCTCAATCAAATTAGTAGGACAATTAATTTGGTAATCATAAAGCTTAAAATTTAAAAGTTTGTGAGAGTTATTTAAAGACTCAAAGTTCTTTACATAGTATTGATTTGTACTGTGCAAATTACTATAATGACCAATTAAGTTTGTGGAAAAGAATTGAGAACTACTCCGTAATTGAATTAAAATTTCATGAAAAAATACTAAAAAAATAATTTTCTGTAAACCAAATAGGACATAAATGAGTTGTAATTTATTTAGAAATATACACGAATATCACGTTTGAACTAAATGTTTATGTTTTTTTTGGTCACATTTTATAAAATTTATTAGCTTAAGTTTTAACCCCCCCCTCTTCCCCTCTCCCACTTTTTGAATGGAAGGGAAATGGATAATTTTATACCTAAACGTTACAAGTTTGATTTTTACAAATATTACCTTAGTTGAACCCGTAGTACAAAATCTTCATTAGTACGATTTACTTCTTTTGTATAATTTGTTAGCTAGGTATTTTAGACATTAATTAAAAAGTTAGTTATTAAGTATTATTCATTTCAAAAATTAAACCTCAAATTTTCAAAAACAAGCATATTTTAAAAGGTAAATTAAATTTTAGATTATGTTGACCTTCTCAAAAATAATACTCCGTAATAATTAAGAGTAGTAATATAATATTCATTAAATTTAAATTAAATATCGGACAATATTATTATTATTATTATTATTATTATTATTATTATTATTATTATTATTATTATTATTATTATTATTATTATTTATTTGTCATATTTGAATGTAATATATTTATTATCACTCATGGAGCTTACGTCGGGCCGGCATTCACGGGTATACCAACTATGGCGGTTGGATTGGCGCCATCATCTTCCTCATTTACACAAATGAAAGAGAAGCTAATAGCTAAGAAGACCGGCCCTCAAACTATTTCATGAAATTACTTTATTACTTGCCTTTTTATTTTATTTTTATTTTTTTTATTTAATTCTACTTATTCATTGATGTGCATTATAGTATAATTGGGTTCCAAATTTTTTTTTTTCCTTTATTTTTTCAAAATTTGTTGTTTCTATCTAAGCTCGAAATCTTATTATATATTAAGATAGTTTGTCAATATTTATTTTCTTGTAGCGATTTTGAAGAGACTTATAAATTAAATTTGTTTGTTTCTATTCATTGGGGTATGCTGATGGAGTGAACGGGTCTCGCCTGTGGGGTCCCACTGCCCACAAGGTTATCATCATCACGGATGTTGTATTCGTAGAAGCAATGGTACAAGAAAGTGAAAGTACTGCGAAGGAGAAACAAGTGACAAGTACAGTACAAGTTGAAGGAAGGAAGGAAGAAGAAATTCTAATTTCCTCTAAAGCAACAATAGAGCATGATGAATAAGATAAAACTGAGTCTTCAACTTCATAAGTTCGACGATCAACTTGGGATAGGAGACAACCAGCTTGGCACTCAGATTATTTTATAGTGGGAAATGTTACATATTGTCTACTAACAGTAGTTGGTGAGCCATTAACTTACCATGGGGCTATGAAAGGTCCAGATGCATCTTTGTGGATGACAGCAATGCAAGAAGAAATTGAAGTTCTCCATAAGAATAAAACATGGGAACTTGTCCTGTTACCACAAGGAAGGAAGACTATTGGAAATAAATGGGTCTATAAGATCAAACGAGATAACAATAATCAAGTGGAATGATATCGTGCTCGATTAGTTGTGAAAAAATTTGCTCAGAAACAACGAGTTGATTTCAACGAGATATTTTCACCTGTTGTACGACTTACAACAATCAGAGCAGTCTAAGCGATGTGTCCTGTTTTTGACTTGTATCTGGAGCAATTAGATGTGAAAACTGCATTTCTACATGGAGAACTTGAAGAAGAGATGTACATGCTCCAACAAGAAGGTTTTGAAGAAAAAGAAAAAGAGAACTTGGTTTGTATGTTGAACAAATCTCAATACGGTCTCAAAGAGGCACCGAGATGTTGGTATAAGAGATTTGATTCATTCATTTTGAGCCTTGGATACAACAGATTTAATTCAGATCATTGTGCATATTGCAAGAGATTTGATGATAATCAGTTTATCGTTTTGCTATTGTATGTTGACGACATGATGGTAGTAGACAACAATAACCGTTTCACATAGATGAAGGCTCAATTGGCTAAAACTTAATATTTTAAATGTTAACTGCCACATCAAAAATTGACTTTGAGTATCGGTCACTTTGATCTAATTGTACAAATCTGACTTATTTAGAGAGTTAATTGTATTTTTTTAGTTGGATAGTTTAACTAAATTGTGTGTAATTCAAAGATTAATTTAGCCCAAGACTGCTAAAAACCTTGTGGTCAAGCGACATGAAGTGACTCTCCCAAGTGGAATGTCATGGGGTCAAGTCTCAGTCGAGGTGATATTGACTTGTTAAAGATACTGCAATTAACAGGGTCAATAGTACCCCTAATAACGAAACTAAAAAGCCATAAAGCCATTGTACACAAAATTCTCCCAAGTCTTAATGACCTTAGGCATAGGATGGGGGCCTCCTAATTCCTAAACCTAACAATTTTAGTGCACACCACTCCTTTTTCAATATAATAATTATACGGTGATTACTGTCATAACTCATAAGTAGTTTTCAAAAATAAAAAAATAAAAAAAAAATGTCATAAGTACATTAATGTACATTTACAATAATATATATGATAATACAATCTTGAATAAACGAAGTTGGAGCAGTTATTAATGAATGGAACAAGTACATGTACAAAATCAGAAATGATAATACAATATATTTAATAAATAAAATCCAAATGCTTGCCAACTATCATGTAGTGTGATGAAATCTCGATTATCATTCTAAAAGGGTGATCATATATTCAAACCTCGATGCTGGAAGCTTAGAATCTTTAAGCTCAAAATTTTTGATAACTGTCATTATCACTATTACTTAGAGTGGTAGTATTTATACAGATTTGCGACTGAAGATAACTAATAGATGTCGTGTGCAGCATAGGAAGATGCTTCATATTTGTTTATTTATCTTCATTGTGGCCTTTAGAAATTTTGGCTCTTGTCTGTCCCTCTTGTGCATGTTAAAAGGCCATAGTTTTCTCTCTCTCTTTTTATTTTTCATTATCCGTTAATGCATGATTGAACTTTTCTTTATTTTGTTACACATTAGTTTAAGGCATAATAATTAGTAAAAAAAAAAAATCACTAGTAGATAGTGACTTTATAGCTGATTCAAAGGGAAAAATAGAGTTTTAAATAAAACATGAAGTTTAATTTAACTAATTTGATATATATATAAAAGTTAAAATGCTATTCTTGAAATTGAGGCTGTCACAAAGCTAGGCTGATTTCGATTACCAAACACACCCCAATAATAATACAATAACGGAATCATCTTCAAAATAATTTTGTCATTTTATTAAACTTTTTATACTCCAATAACATGAATTAAAAATTAAAATTTTCAATTCATCTTTCTCAACAAAAAAAAAAAAAAAAAAAAAAACTTATAAATGAAAAATCAACAAATAATACGAAGAGATGTGGTTCAAATCAAAGGACTTGAGTGGTTTAAATATGAAATTGAACCAAGGACCTTGTGGTCCAATAGTATCCGATTGCTCTCCTATGTGAAAGGTGATAGATTTGAGCATCAGTGCAGGCAATTAGTAGTTTGGGTATCCCCTTCTTTTATAATAAAAAAATAAAAAATATGAAATTGAAAGTTCAAATTTATGTATATACAATAACATTTTTTAGAAACGTCATCGTCTGAATGGGACTTGACGAGGACTTAATTAAATTATTTGTCTTTTTATTTTGGGAGAAGACAAAATAATTTTTGAATTTGTATAAAAATCATTACGGCGTTCTAGAATTGCATCTGCACGCCTCTCTGTTGTTTGTTTGGCCAACGTTTCCCACGTACCATAGTAAAACAACATACATTGAAATTTTGACGAAACATATAAGGCAACGTGGTCAAAGGAATATAACCGCAAATTATTGTGTGCATCATGATCTATACAATGGTATGTAGATCTTAACAAAAGGTATATTTTTAATATATTAAAAGTATATTATTCATGTACTGAATGTATATTATATAAAATAATATATTTTCAGTACTCAAATAATGTACTTTTTCTGAATATAATGTATAATTTTAATATACTAAAATGAAAATTGTAATCTATACCCCTCCATAATATGTCAAGTATCGATATCACTCCTTAATTATTAGTGGTGTAAATGTTGCCCTTAATATTTAAAACAGTACATATATTACCCGTCCCGTACCGTACGAGAGGAAAATTGAGGGGCAACATTTACACTACGAGAGGGGCAATATATGTACCATTTTGAAAATTGAGGGAGAACATTTACACTACTAATAATTCAGGAGTGACATTAATAATTGGCATATTATAAAGGGGCCTAAATTATAATTTTTTCTATACTAAAATTTCATTATTTGTGTATTAAATGTACATTATTTGATAGTATTATTTAAAATATAATGGGGAATGTTGAGATAAGATAAGAAAGAAGACCAGAAGAAACCCACTAGAATTCCAAATACACACTACTCTACCCATAGTATTTAATGAATATTACCCAACATGCAACTCAAATCAATAAATAAATAAATAAACATCAGAGAAGAAGGTGTTAGAG